GAGAGAGAGAGAGAGAGAGAGAGAGAGAGAGAGAGAGAGAGAGAGAGAGAGAGAGAGAGAGAGAGAGAGAGAGACGGGAAAAGGGAGGAGGATTCGAGGGCGGGAGGTTAAAGGTGCGCTTTCTGCGTCTTTTCTTTTTTTGCGTGTGAGGGAGTGATAGGGGAGGGGAAGGGAGGACGGTTACGGGGAAGTCAGCAGGGGGGCGCGCGCGCGGGCGAGAGAGAGAGAGAGAGAGAGAGAGAGAGAGAGAGAGAGAGAGAGAGAGAGAGAGAGAGAGAGAGGAGGGTTGGGGGAAGTCGGTAGCAGCCGGGGGAGGTTAAAGGCTTTGGCAGGCTGTTTTGCCTTTCTCTTCTTTTTTCCCTTTTTTGTTTGGTGTGTTGTCATGTTCTCTACACAAAACTCCAGCCACGTGGCGCAATCGGACTATTCACCGACTCATCAGGGACTTGACAGGTTGGGGAGGGGTAAGGGGGAGGCGATGTTAGGGGAAGGTCGGTGTGGAGTAAAGGATTCCAAAAAAGAGAGAGAGAGAGAGAGAGAGAGAGAGAGAGAGAGAGAGAGAGAGAGAGAGAGAGAGAGAGAGAGAAGGGGGGGGGGGCTTTGCCAAGCTGTCCATGATGTGATTCTGACAGGTGCTACTTCGTTTCTCCTTTGCCTCATGCCTTCCAGGTAATTCTCAAAGATGCACGCACGGCATTATGGCTCTCTCATGTCAATGCTACTCTCGACATGTACCCCCCCCCCCCCCCCAACGAAGAGCAACTGCCAAGCAGATTGAATGCTCTCATTGATTGTTTCATTCATCATTCATGCAGACCTGAGATTCACCCACATGTTGTCCAAGATGCACGCCCGGAAGTTGTTTCATTCATACAATTCATTCAAAACCCCTGCTTCCGACATCCACCATCGCTACTTCTCTCCCTCTCTCCCTCTTCCCGCCATCTCTTTCTCTCTCTCTCTCTCTCTCTCTCTCTCTCTTCTTAATATCAGTGGCTGGCACTCCTATAGTTGAAGGCGACCGACTTCCAATCCAACGACTTCCCCGGGCCAATAATGATCAATGACATCATCCGAGCGCACCAGACCTGAGACTCACCCACACGCGCATGGGCACTTGCACGCATAGCGTCAAAATAAAACTCAA